GCAGAGGGGAGCCTGCCCTTATGGACAGGAGATGCTCTGTCTAATGGGGCTTCCGTGGTCCCAGGTGAACCTGATATTCTGCACATCAGGACTCTAGTGCCAGACTGCGATCCTGCCATCTTTTTCCAAGTGCTTCCAGTAGTATCTTCTTCTGCCCGATAGCTTTCTATCCCTCCCTGTGACTTCTGGGATAAATTCAGCCAGGGGATCATTAAAAACTTACAAACTGGTTCCCTCGTCTCTTACTGGCATTCCCCTTACCCCTTCTATCCTCCCCTCCTGAGCATTTTACACCCCAGAAAGGCAATGCCAAGCTGAATGTACATCCTGTTGCCGGGTTCCTCCATCTCTTGATGTACTGGCCTTCCTCCTAGAAGGCCCCCATCCATCTTCCATAACCAGCAATTTACCTTTAAAAAGAGCTGAAGTTACCAGGTCCTCCCCCAAAGCAACACTAAGGACGCCCTCCTTAGTCAAACTCCAATAGCGTCAACCCCCTGCCAGTCACAGGATGCTTATGGGTCCGCTTTTCACTGGCCCGGGAGCCCCTAAAAGGAGAGACCTTGTCATCCCCTCTTTGTCCCTAGAGCCTATCCCTGGCTCACCCTAGAGTGAAGACGTGCAGGGACTGAACGAGGTTCCCGAGCAGCTGTGTTCCAACACCCTCCCCACCACCACGGCACCCATCAGCCCATGTGCAAGCTGCAGAGGCCCGGGCCCAGTCCACGTTCTGAAGCCCTGAGCGCCTCAGGAGTGCCCGAGTGAAGTTGTGAAAACATTCCGCTTCAGGAAAAGGGCTGGGGAAGGCCACGGTGCTTGAAGGTCATGAAAGGAACAAGTTCTGGAACCGTTTCTCTTAACTCAAAATTCAGTTAACTGCAAAATAGACAGAACTAAGATCTGTCACAAAAATGTCACCTCATTGTCGGTGTCCTCACCTGCAGGATAGACCTCTGGCCACCCAACTGGACCTCTCCAGGTCTGTGGAATAAAGGTTGCCTCTGGTTCCTAAATGCTGGTCCTAAGAACAGCATCAGAAGCTCTGGATGTAGTTGTTTAAAAATGCAGTCCCAACCCAGACTTAATGAAAAAAGAAAGGGTCTAGGGAGTGGGACCCAGGAATCAAGGGTGTTTGAATGGTGCTGAAGTTTTCTAATGTACAGCCAACTTGGAAGGTCCACAGGGCCCCAAGGAAAATCCTGGTACACAGTAGGTGCCTGATAAATGTGAAGAGGACCCATATGAGAAAAGCAAGGGGTGAGAGCTGGCATTCACAGCTACCAGACCTGTCGAGCTTTGTGCTCTGGTAAATGCTCAGTCTCTCACAGCCTGCTTCCTTCCTAGTAAAATGGGTCAAACCGAGGAACAGCCATCCACCTCCTGGAGTCAGGACAGAGGTTATCTGAAATAATGTGCCATCAGACTAACCAAACCTTACCTGCACGTGCCATCACTTCCAAATGAGCCCAGGTGTTTCCCTTCTGGGCCTGTCAACACTCTCTAACCCAGGTGACCACTTCCTCCAGGCATAAAGGGCACTTTAGCCTCATAAGCACGCACCTTCTCTTCAACTCCTCTCCCAGAAGAGTGAGCCTCTAAACCATGAAGTGGGCTCAGTGTGGTAGTGTTTGCCTGTAATCCCAGCTACTCAGGAGGCTGAGGCAAGAGGATCGCCGAGTTCCAACCCAGCCTGGGCAGCTTAGGGAGACCCTGTCTCAAAATTTAAAAATAAAATAAAAATAAAAGGCTGAGGATGGGATGGAAATCTACCACTGGCTTCTCACACCTTGGAGTAAAATCCTAAGCTCCCAGGCACTCTATGTGGCTGCCTCTGCCTGCTCCTCGTCCCAGGGTACCAGAGCTGACCACCCACTCTAAAGGAGACCCTCCTCCCAATTCCCTACCCCATGACCTCGTTTATTTCCCTCCACATCCGAAGGAAAGTATGAGATTATTCCACTTATTTGTATCAGCGTCTGTCTCCTTTTCCGTCAGATAAATTTCCACAAAGGTGGGTACCAGCCCGTCTTAGTTGCCTGTATCTAGTCTGCCATGACCCGTGGTAGGCGCTGCATGAATACCTCTGGATACAGGAGAGCCTGGTTGTGTTCAGCACCACAGCCAGCACTTCAGAAGCAGCCAGCAGCAAAATTAACTCACTCCCTTCCTCCCCTTCCTTGCTTGTTGTCCCTGCCTCTGGCCCTGGAGCTTTCAGGCAAAGGACAAACGCCATCCATCAGCGAGGAGAGGCAGTAATGCCCAATGTCATAGCTGCTTTATTTGATTAGCTCTGACTCCGGCATGCAGGACACGTGTGCCGGGAACCAAAGCAACTGTACCCTGACCTCTGGTCCACGCGATCCCATCTTATAACCATTTCCATGACAACAGCAGCGGAAAGCCAAGGCTGTGTGTGGATTCCCTTTGATACGAGCCGGATACAGAGACTGGGGGAGGGTGACTTTCAGAAGAATGAGACACTTTGATTCAGCTCAAGGCGCCTTCATTAAATACCACTATTTCCCAAGAACACACATTTTAACCCTGCAGAGGGAAGATTCTCATGCATCCTTTTTTTAAAAAAGGAAAAAAGAAAAAGAGCCAAAAGCATGCGGTTCCTTTTCAAGTACATTCACTTCACTGGTAGGGGGAAGGAGGGCTTGAACGCTTTGACGGGAGGGACACTCTGATGGAAGATGAGCAGGTCAGGCACTCCACGGCCCAGGAAGCTGTAAAAACTCAAGGTGCCTGGCCCCCAGCTGTGCACATGGGCATCTCTGCCCACCTAAGGCAAGCCGAGTAGCCAGGGGGTCCCTGCTCACCCAGTCAGCCACACGCAGGAAGACACACGATGAGGCTAAAAAGTTCAGATTGTGCACTTAGGTCCACAAGCTCTGGATGTGAATTCCAGCTCTGCAACTTACTGCTGTTACCCTGGGCTCATCAACGACCTCCTCTGGACCAAAGCTCCCTCTCATGTTCAATGACCAGGAACCAGCCTCCCCTTTCTTGGGGATCTCATGGCAACTTAGTGAGGGACACACTCAAGCCCTGGGGACCCGTTTTTGCCAATGTGGCCATGAGAAGGAAAGAATGGCCACCCCCTACCCAGAGTTTTCCTGGGACTGAGGGCCTCCCCAGAACACAGGACACTGCAATGAAGCCAGGAAAATCTTGGACAAGCCAGGAAGGTTTGTCACTAGAGAAGAGAATGAACTGATGGACAGCCAAGAGTCACGGGATCTGCTGGCTTCTGGGCTCTCAGCCCTTACTTTCTGTGGGTTTTTCTCCTAAACCCATGAACCTGCTGCTTCACACTGAGAAACCACCAGGTGAAACCAGACCAGAGGACATTCTATGGGCCCCTGGCCAGTGAGCCAAGCTGTCCACATCATGCCATCAGGGGAAAGCTGAGAGACTGCTCCTGTCCAGAGGACATCGGCCAGGTTTGGCAACGGAGGTAGGCTGGTGTGCTGGGCTGGTCCTGGGACAGGAAATGCAGCACTAATAGAGAAACTGGAGAAACCAAGTCTGCGGTAGGGAGGTTGTTTTTCTAGGGTCTCTGGATAGGTGCCTCAGCTCCACCCAAAATGCTTCACTTTACAGACGGAACTGCTGGCAGGCCCAGGAGCAGGAGAAGCTCCCAGGACTCTGCTGCTGACACCTGGAGATTTACTCTGCTGCCTCCCACGGCCTTCCTGGGAACCTGCTGACTATCAGGAGCTCCTCCTGAAGAAAGAAGACAGGGGACGCCAGGTTTGGAATTGGGAAATGTGGCCTGGCTCTGATCGTTTCTAACCGGCCGTGTGATCTTGGGCCTCTCTGACCTTCAGTTCCTCCTTTGTAAAGTGAGGAGAACAATCCAACTGAACTCAACAGAAATTCAGTATGTGCAAAGGATCAGGTGGGTGTCCTGAGACAACGGAACGTGGGAGAATCAGAAGGAACAGTGCAGGTCACCAGCCTGAGTTCCCGGACGTAACCTGCGAAGCTAAAGAAGGCCCCAGCCTTGTAGCGTGGCTGAGGTTGGACGACAGAAGGCCAGTGTTGGAGGTGGAGGAGGAAGAAGGCCTCTCCCAAGAAGAGAGGGGTGAAGCCACATGGGTTCAGCAAGAAGGCTCCTCCCAGGAAGGCGTGTAACTTCCAAGGCGACACCAAATGCAAGAGTTCAACACTCCCAGACGCAAATCTCAAGTCCCTGCTACATCATTCAGCCCTGGGGCCTCTCTCCCAGGGGCTTGCTCTGCCCTGCAAGATCCACTCACAGCTCTCCGCACTGGGTGCCCTGAGCCAACTCTCAGCAGGCACGGCCCATGCTTCCCATGTCTCCTGAGGTCCCTAGCTCCTGGATTGCCAGCCCTGCACCTGGACACCTGCTGCTCAGGTCCTCTTTGGAGGCTGCCAAAGATGGTGGAGCCACAAGACCTGGGTTCGAATTCTGACTCTACCATCCTCTAGCCGCGTGCCTTTGTGTGGGCCATCTCAGCTCTCTGCCACCCAGCTCCTCCCTCGTGAAATGGAGTTAGCCGATGGTTTTCACTGTGCTTAGCTGACCTGAGAACACCAGGTGACAACAGATAACGAGGACCCAGTACTGGGGCAGGGGCTCGCAGACAGTGACAGCCAGGGGCCAACAGACAACCTGGTGAACGTCGTCAGCTGGTTACAACTGCTGCTGTTGCTAGGAGCTGCGTTTGCATCGTTAGCACTATTACTCTTTGGTTCTTATGAGCCCTGGTGGTGGTTCTCTCTCTGTCCCCCGTCAATCATTTGGGCATCAGCCCCTTGAGACAGACACACTGAGCCTCAGCTCAGAAGAGCAGATCACATGCCCTCAGTCCTTCAGAAGCCCCTCAACCTCACCTCGCCCGGCCATGCTGCTTTCCCAACCCATAAATGCCCCCATCTCCCTGCAGGTCTCTGAAAACTGGGGCCCTGTACCTGACATGGGGGGGCCTCTCCTCCCAGCCCAGGTCCTAAGAGGACCCAGCAACACCCACCTGGCCATGCACCTTCTCCAGCTCCTCTTTGCTGACTGACGTCTTGCCATCCTCCATGGTGGCCAGAAGGAGCTGGACATCTGAGAGCAGTGCGTGCGTCCTCCGGAGGTCCCTTCGCAGTCGCTTCTCCACGTCAAAGTCCCGATGGCCAATCTGGAAGATAAGAGAAGGCTCGTGAGTTCGGCAGAGTAGCAGAAGGTGTTTCCATTCCCTGGATCCTGCCTGTGCCACCCGTACCATGAGATCTTGGACAAGACGCTCCTCCTCTCTGACACTCAGTTTCCCCACGTCCAGAATGGACTGCTACCAACCACAGAGTCGCTCTGAAATTAAATACGAGCCCAGCCTAGTGCGTGGCACAGAAATGGTACCCCAAAATGTGAGCTGCCATCATGATTCTCTTCACAACTTCAGGTCCAAAGTCGTTCTGTCCTACCTTCAGTGCCAAGCCATCAATACGACCTCCCCTCTTCTCCTAAGAGCCTCTCATGTCAGGCGAGTCCCTCAGCGGCTGGCCAGGCTCTGCCAGTGGGAGTCAGGACAGCCAGGGCAGACAGTGATGGGTGTGACCGGTGGGTCTGTGCTACTGGTCTGGGTGGTGCCAGATGAATGTATGGAGACTCACGGAGCTTTACCCAGGGGACACGAGACACTTCTCTACAGTGTCACGCCACAGGTTTACATGTAGGACACGCGGTGCCCACCCGCATGGACGCCCCACCTTGGCAAATAATGACTATTCTCAAATCCAAGTCATGCTGCTCTGTCCCTTGAGCTGGTCATGTATATTCCAGTTTAAGGACAGGTAGATGAAATCACTTTCTGCAGCGGGACCTTTACCCAGATCTGAGCACATTCCTTTTCCCAGAATTGTGAATTTCTGGGGACAGTGATCAAGGCGGTCATGAAGAAGTCACTTCCTGGACTGGGAACAAAGGAGGGTGACCTTCACGGCTTCCAGTGGCCAACAGTACAGGCAGACAAAGGCAAGGAGAAACAGAAAGAAGACACTAGCGCCTCACACAGAATCCCAACAGCACACCATCCCCTTGAAGTACAGAGCAGCAGATTAGAGTCCCTGAGGGAACAGCCCCTTTATTGGGCTCTTCAGGAGGCCAGAGCAAAGAACACAGCACCATCCACGAGATGAGGAGTTTTAAAGAAAACAGGAACTTCATTTCTACACACTGGAACTTTATCCTTCTATGCCAAATGCTAACCATTTCTTGGGATGCTCAGAATGCCCCCAGAATATTCCCAAAAGAACATGGCACTGAGAAGCATGTGGCCCTGCCTTTAAACCCCAACTCGCCCCTTACTGGTGGCAGGAACCTTGGCTGAGTCAAACCACCTCTCTGCTGAGTTTCCCTGTCTACAAGAAGAGAGATTTAAAAAGAAAAAAATCCCTGTCTTCCATGTTTAGATAAGACAATGATCATGTGCGATAATGGATCACAAAGCACTTTTATGCCATCAAGGATTATAAGTATTGTGTGATGACCCAGAATGTGTTCCTGCAGAGTTAGCATTATTATTCCTCTACCATCAGTTTGGAATCCTTTGAAAAATGAACTGGTTCTTAGAATTTAGCCTTGTTTTCTCAGATGTATTATTGCTTTGGTAAATTAAAATGCTGGTCTAATACACACACACACACACACACACACACACACACACATCTGCTGAACTGAACTGAGAGCTGGGCATTGTGCCAAGCTCTCTGTCACGTTATTACATTTAACTCCTGTGACAATCATTTAAAAATAGACATCATTATTATTACTGCCTTTGTAAAAGTAGCAATGGTTTGCATTTGTAGAGAGAATTCTAAGTTTCTGGGACTGTTCTAAACATTTATGGACAGTGATACATTTAAAATGACAATGACTCGATGAGGTGTGGACCACTCCTGTTTTACAGCAGACAGGAGTAAGTCACTTGCTCAAGAGCTCGCAGCAATTAAGTGGCAGAACGGGGATATGAACTCAGATTTCTAGGCTGAAAAGAGGACTTTTTAGTAAGACATCAGATGAGCGGGATAGGTTTTGCTTTTTAAATTTTTCTAAGTGCCTTAAGGCACAGAAGACTATCACCCTGTTGTTGACGAGATGGGTGGGAAGAGATGTGGAAGCGCTATGACCACTCCTCCCAAGAAGAGGTGCTGGAAGGCACCGCATGAGCAGAAGCAGGGGTGCTGGGGAGTTGCCGTGATGGTGTGCAGGTTGCGAGAAGTTATCCAGGTCACTTGCTTAAGAATAGAGTGCAGGACACAGAGGTACAGCTAGAAGGCCCATGATCTGCAGGGCCATACTGGTACCAAGTGGCTGGGAAGGGATTTGAACCCAGGCGTTTCAGCATTGTAATCAGGCTTATGAAGTGCTCAGTGGAGCTGATACCGGAGCCCAGACCCGTTTACTCTCAAGAGCAGCTCTGCATTACCGTAATAACCCTCCAGCAGTGCGCTTTGCGCCCATCCTATATCCACATCTGACCCTACAGTGCCTCTGATTCTCTTGTGGAGGAAACTGGCATGAGGAACAGTCCCTCATGTTGGCACTGACCACACGGCAGGAATGGCTCCAACTCTCTAACCTTCGCTGCCAGAGAGTGCTTGACACTGCTGGCATTGTGTCTCTTTCAGGGGGAGCTCTGCAAACAAAAATTCGCAACTAAATCTCAGACCAAGTCATCCTTCTCTTCATAATGAACGGTGAGAGGAGGGGAGCTCACTAGGTGAAAGGGAAATAAAAGTCACGCCGAGAGTTCCCAGTTTGCAGCACAAAGATTCAAATCTGGATAAAGATGGTGAACAAAAAATGATGTTTAGTGTTTTTGTAGGAAGCTATATTCAAACCTCAACTGTTTCAACATTTATGATAAAGGTAAATTGGATAAATGGATAAGAAAGATCTTACAGGCAAACTAAGTGAAAAGAGAGACAGCATATAGTCACCAGTCTGCCAAATAAATAAAGCAATATGTAACTTCAATGCACCTAAATATGTGGCCGCATAATGTATGTAGAGAAACTATAACTATCAACAAAAGTTGGAAAATTCACATCAGATTAGGAACTTTACAAGCATGGTCACAGACTTATAATGCTGAATCGCCTGGGTTCAAATCCTTTCATAGCCACTTGGTACCAATACGGCCCTGGCACATCACCTGCCTTCTCGCTGTACATATATACTTAAGTATATGCACTATACGCTAAGAATGTCAAGGGCTGGGATTTAGCTCAACAGAGTCGCTGCCTGCCTCACAAGCTCAAGGTCCTGAGTTCGATCCCCGGTACCACAAAAAAAAAAGAATGTCAAAGGAATCTCTTAGCAATGGCTTAAGCAAATAACATTGAAAGCTAATAAGAGGTGATTTTTTTTTCAAAAAAAGATGGCTATTAAACCTTTCCTTTATGGTTTATAATTTTACATTTGCATGTCATATTCAAATTAAAATTTAAAAGCTCGATCTATTTGTATGTATAGAACCTCACACCTCATAAGCACTGACATCCTTTTCCAGAAGTGGCTTGCTGAGCCTGACCATAAACTGGGAAAACAAAGAGATCACAACAATTGCAAAGAAAAATTTTAGGCATTCCAGCATGTTCTCTACCTAAAATGTCATTAACTTAAAAATTAACATGAAAAGTTAATTCCAAATATTAGTAAACTTGAAATGCAATTTATAAATAATTTGCAAGTGGAAAAAAGATACGACCAAGTTCTTAGGCTGTAAGGGTGGCACTGACGCAGAATGCAAAGGGAGTGTATCATCTTAAATACACACATTTTTAATTTAAAAATAGTTTTATAGGCATCTAAGGAATTTTAACCGATCGGAAACAGTGAACGTGCATTAAAAATTTCAACATTGAAACTAGAACAAAATACTAATGTAACAAAAGATTTAATGGAAAAGGAAACAGAAACAAAAGAAAATCAAAAAATAGAACAAAAGACTAACCGAAACAGTGATAGGGAAAAACTGGTGCTTTTATAGGATTCACAGACAAATCTCTACACAAAAGTAAATAATATTGTGATTTTTAAAAGGCAATAATCTGATACAATAGAATTTTTTAAATCATATGAAAATAGTCTGTCAGCCTATATGAAAGTAAAAGTTAATGACTAGAAGTAGTCATTAACTCCTTAAGGAAGAGAAAAATATCTATATTTGTGCCCACTTGTGATTACAGCACTTTGAGATAGCAAATATTTATCTTTTCCCCAAGAGAAATTAGCCCCAAATGGGTTTACATGCTAATTATTTTCAGTTTTCAAGAGCTACATGTCTCAAGTTTTATTTTTTAAAAAATTCAAATATAATTGTAAACACATGAGGTTAGCTCAGCCCTGGACAAATACATTGTAAGTAAAGAAAATTTTAAACCCTCTTATTTATGATTCTGTTTTCCAAAGTCCTAAAATAATTAGCAAAGCAATACAGCAATATATTAAAATGCACGAGACTAAGTAAGATTTACTTGCGAGATATGTCAGGATATATTGCAATATTTTAAATATAATACACTGTATTAATGAATGAAGGAGACCAGTCATACACAATTAACAATTGCATAAAAAGCATATGAAAACATTCAGTAAACCTTTGTTAAATATTAGAAAACTACAAGAGGAAAAGAGTGATCTAACTTGACACAGCAAACAGATACATGATAAAACTCAGAAGCAGAACTAAGAGGTCCAGAATGAGGAAATGAGGGCTGGGGATTTAGCTGAGTGGTTCCAGTACCTGCTTTGCAAGCACATGGACCGGAGATTCAATCCCCAGTACTGGGGCGGGGGGCGGGGGAGAAAGGAATGCGGAAATGAGGCCAGCCGTCTCCACTATTCAACCTTATAGGGGAAGCCCAAGCCCATGCAATCAGGCAAGAAAAAAATATATAAAACATTTCCTTGAAATTGAAGCTTCTCTCTTACCCCAATTTATGGACAAGAGGCAATATTACTGTTATTTTAAACACTAAATTATAAATGTAAAAATAATAAAAAGAATCTACAGGTAAAATATTAAAATAGTGACTTCATAAAATCTTCTGCACATAAAATGAATAAAATCAGTACAACCAATAGTCCTTTCATGCACTACAAGAACTACGTGAAAAACAGAATATAGAAAAATGC